GATCCCTCTATCTTTAAATCTTATATCTAAGAGACCTATAATAGCATGATCTATCTGGAAATAGAATTGATTCTTTATGGTCTTTATTTTCTTGGATATTTAAAAGTAAAATTGCACTAGGTTATCCCAAACAACTAATTTTACCTAATTAGTAAAGCCATTGGAAAGGAATATCTGATAAATTATACTATGTCAATTATAGAAAATAGTAAAATTAAAAATAATGATTTTAAAAGCTTGAGGAAATTTGAAGCATTCAAAATCAGAAGACAAGCACATCAAGAACTGTTTTCATTTTACTTATGGGACTTTAATAAACCCTCATAGGAAACTATTTCCGTGACACCTGGGTAGCTCAGTAGTTGAGCTTCTGCCTCCGGCTCAGAGCATGTTCCCAGTCTGGAGATTGAGTCCCACATTGGGCTCCCTGCGAGAAGCCTGCTTCTCCCTCTGCCTATGTCTCTGCCTCTTTTTATTTTTTAAAAAAAGAAATTATTTTCACTAAGGTTTAAAAAAAATGCTAATGTCACATTATAACTGCAAAAATATTATAGACAGACAAAAACTGTTTTGTCTCACCTGAGCCACTTCCTAGCTGTGTTACTCTAAGTAAATCACTTGACTATCCTGAGCCCTAGCCTTTCTATTTGTAAATGGGAACAATACCATCTGTCTTTTAATGAAGTAACAAATATAAACCTGACCTGCTAATGAGCACCAGCGATCACCCTGGGAATTAAGTCACCCTCCCTCAGTGCCCTCCTCCCAGTTAGTTCACTGACTCTACTCTGTAATCAACCTGAACACTAAACAATTAAGAACTGATAAAAACAAACAGTTGAAGAGAATACTTAAAATCTATGTATTTTACTGCATGTAAAGTATTCATTAATAAATATAAAGGGCTTGTTTAAAAATGAACTAGTGACAACAAGTAATATATTTGAGAAATCACTGGCTAATATATCAGCAAATGCCAATCATTATCAAGAAGTCCAAAAACCAGCACCAGCCCATCCCCATCCTGATTTTGAAATTTCTTTATCATCTTCTTCCTAATCTTTTTTCCCAAAGGAGTCCCTCTGGTCTTCACCTCTTAAAAGTGCAACTTTAAGCCTTAAAAAAAAAAAAAAAAATCTGGGGCACCTGGGTGGCTCAGTGGTTGAGCTTTTGCCTTCGGCTCAGGGCATGATCCCCAGATCCGGGATCGAGTCCCACATCAGGCTCCCTGCATGGAGCCTGCTTCTCCCCCCTCTGCCTAGGTCTCTGCCTCTCTCTCTGTTTGTCTCTCATGAATAAACAAATAAAATCTTTAAAAATGCTTAAAAATAAATAAATAAATAAATAAAATCTAAAACATACTTATTAATTCTTTGGTTCCTTTAGACTTCCCAACATCCCTCTGTCCCTAACTTCTTAGGAATATTTACTCCATCATTTCAGATTGCAACCTTTCTACTGGTTATTCTTCCTCTCCCTTGTCTAAAAATATTAATGCCAATAATAGTAATTATTATAATAGTAATTATAGTGATTAGCAGTAGAAATGGAGAGCCAACATTTGGTGACAGGCACTATCTAAACACTTTGTACGTGTATAGCACTGAGGACTCACAAAAACCCTATGAAGTATATACCTTTTTATATAAGAAACTGCATTACAAAGATGATGTTACTTTCCAAGGTCACATACCTCACCTGAAGCATTCCAAAGTCACTGCTCATTATTAACATGCATACAACCTTCTATATTAGAAGGATATAAGAATGGAGTTATCTGGACAGGGTTATTACTGTCCCATTTTTGCTGTTTTGTACTAGTCCTTAACTTAAAAGACCCATAATTTAATAAATACATAAAGTGAAAGCCTAGGAGATAAAAATCTCTAAGGGAAGAGGACAGAGAATCTGTTTTTCTTCTTTTATGATACTAACAGCAGTCCCAAAGGTGGAAATACATCTTGTTTTTAAGTTGAAGCACTTTAATATATAGTAGGGTCTCTTCTCTGAACTCTGGCAAAATGGAATACCAATTCAGTCATCTTCTGTTGTATAACTTAGTGGCTTAAAACAATTGTTTTTAATTGTGCTTGCATCTGCAACTGGGTAGGGCTTGGCAGGGACAGCTCCTCTCTGCTCTACACAGGCACCCACTGGGGCAGTACAATGGGGATGTGGAGGATTAAGATCTGCTTTTAGGACAGTTCACTCACCGGGCTGGCAAGCTGAGGCTATATGTCAGCTGGGAGCATAGCTAGGGCTGAGGGCCAGGAGCTTCAGTTTCTCTCACACAGACCTCTCACTTGAGCCCTCACAGCACAGCCTGGGAACTTGGTTCCCAAAGTGAGTATCCCAAGAGAGGAAGGTGGAAGCACATGGCATTTTTATGACCCAGCCCCATGAGTCACAGTTTTGCCTCAGCCATGCTCTGTTGGTGGACACGGTTACAAAGGCTCGCTCTGGTTAAGAGACAGAGACACAAACCTGAACAGTAGATGGGAGGAGTGTTAAGCTCACAATGTGAGAATATGTAGAATGAATGTGCCTATTGGGGGTTATCTTTGGGAAACACAATCCATCACATCAATGGAGGTTATGTGTCAGTTTATATACTAAAGTTGATTTTTTGTTAATAGTGTTTATTGGTTTTTATTAAATAGACTTTTCCTATAAAAAGTAACAGACAAAGGCACTGAAAACAACAACCTGGAGCTTCTCCTCCTGTGACGAAATAAATTCAATGGCCTGCAAGTAATTATCTTCAGGGCCAAACAATAGAGAAAAAGAGAAGAAAAAATAGTCAGGTACTTCCCAGAATAAGAGAGCAACAAATGAAGGAAAATGAGTAACCTCTCCCTAAAAATTAAAAATATATGAGTTGGAAGAAACTTTTGACATCACTTAGTTTATTGCCTTTATTCCAGCAACTACTAGAAAACTGAGCTCTACTCACCCTTCAATAAAGGTTAGGGAAACCTCTTATTTTTAATAAAATTCTAAATTCTAAAATGCACAGATTTTTATTCATTCATTTCATTCTCTATTGTTACTGGCAGTAAAAACCCTTGAAAATGAAAAAGCATCAAATACTTTTGGAGTTAACAAAGAAAGGGAAAAGCTGAGACACCTTCATTCTCTTTCAAAGAAGGGTTTATGGGCAGAGAGAACAACAGATTACCAAATGAAATGTTGGAAAAAAGATGAATCAAAACCCTAGGGCATGTAGGAGGGAAAAAAAAGAAAGGGGGTGACTAGAAACCAGCCAAAGCCCTGGGGATTTCACCAGCATGTTCCGCAATGGTCTTCACACACATCCTTACATAGGCTCCATCCCTGAGGCACAATTTCTTTCCCACAAAATGGACCTAGAAATAGCACCAAAGATATCTAATCCAGTGGTTTTCAACATTTTCAGGTATAAGAGCCTCTTTTTAAATCTAAAAAAGAAAAATCAGTAATGAGAGAAGTACCTTGAACTCTGTAACACCTCTACTAAATACTATGGATATTTTGTCATAAGGGCGTATAAAATATGTAATATGTACATGAGACATTTGATTTGGATAAAATTCTTAGGAAACACTGAAATATGTGTCAGCTATTAATGAACATGTAAGTAAATCATATTTGAAAAGACTGAGACTGAGGAATTTTTTTTAAGATTTTATTTATTCATGAGAGACACAGAGAGGCAGAGATATAGGCAGAGGGAGAAGCAGGCTCCCTGTGGGGAACCTGATGCAGGGCTCAATCCCAGGACCCTGGGATCATGACCTGAGCCGAAGGCAGACAACCACTGAGCCACCCAGGAACCCTAAGACTGAGGAATTTTAAAGGACCTCCTTTTCTGGTATGTGAAAGTTAAGATTTCTCCTACTGTGCTTACTACTGAATTCAATAACAAATATTTCCCGATACAGATTCTATAATTCTTTTATAAATTATTAAAAGATTCCCCGTCGGGCAGCCTGGGTGTCTTGGCAGTTTAGCGCCACCTTTGGCCTAGGATGTGATCCTGGAGTCTCAGGATCGAGTCCAACGTCGGGCTCCCTGCATGGAGCCTGCTTCTCCCTCTGTCTGTGTCTCTGCCTCTCTCTCTGTGTGTCTCTCATGAATAAATAAATAAAATCTTTAAAAAAAAAAAAAGATTCCCCATCTTTTAAACTTGTATCTTAATAACTTAAAACTCATTTGAGACAATATACACGCATGTTCTTATTTTTTAAAAAAGAAATCTCATACTCCTTGATGACAGACAATTATCACCAGCTAGGAGTCACCACAATAGATAAATGACTTAGCTATTTTTTTTTTTTTAGATTTTTTTTAATTTATCTATTCATGAGAGAGACAGACACAGGCAGAGGGAGAAGCAGGTTCCATGCAGGCAGCCCAATGCAGGATCCTAGAGACCCAGGATCACACCGGGGGCCAAAGGCGGCACCAAACCGCTGAGCCACCAGGGCTGCCCATGACTTACCTATTGTCAGAAAGACAGTCTCATGGCAACTGTTCTAAATCTAAAGTCTTTATTTTGGGCAGTTGTTCTCTAAAAATATATAGATAATGCTATAGTTTGGAATTATCACAATAATTTAAAAGTTCTAGGGCATCTGGCTAGCTCAGTAAGCAGAGCACATGACTCTTCATCTCGGAGTCATGAGTTCAAGCCCCATATTGGTTTGTAGAGATTTCTTTAAAATAAAAAAATAGGGATCCCTGGGTGGCGCAGCGGTTTGGCGCCTGCCTTTGGCCCGGGGCGCGATCCTGGAGACCTGGGATCGAATCCCACGTCGGGCTCCCGGTGCATGGAGCCTGCTTCTCCCTCTGCCTGTGTCTCTGCCTCTCTCTCTCTCTCTGTGACTATCATAAATAAATAAAAATTTAAAAAAATAAAATAAAATAAAATAAAATAAAATAAAATAAAATAAAATAAAAAATAACACTTTAAAAGTTCTGACTGACACTTTGCAGGCTTTTGGAAAACCATGCGTAGGTACCTTCTTCATGGGCTCCCCTATCCAGGAAGAGCTCCGAGGATACTGCCAAGCAGGCATATAAGCTTCTGAGGCCCATGGAAGTATATGGAGAGAGCTTGGGAGAAAGAAACCCAACTGCAAAACAAGAATATAAAGAATGATGCCTAGCTTTGGTGTGAAATGTTTCCAAAACAGCTGCCAACAGTTTATGAAAACATAAGCACTTCTTTTGTTTAGCTTGTGGTGAAGATGGCCATTTCATGGCAGACTACATCTACATCCATGAAGAGAACCCAGGCTATTATGCAGAAGCTAGGACAAGTTTAGGAGCACTTGGCAAACGAGGGATGAAACAAAGTACGGCCACAAAGAAAAGTAGGCTTATATATTAGAGTTCTCCTGAGAAACAGAACCAACAAGATGAGTGTGTGTGTCTAGATGGATAGACAGATAATAAAGAATTAGATTACACAATAAAGAAGGCCAAAAAGTCCCAAGATCTGTAGTCAACAAGCTGGAGACCCAGCAGAACCAATGGTATAGTTCTAGTCAGAGTCTGAAAGCCTGAGAACCAGGAGTTTAAGTTTAAGTTCCAGGCTGAGAACCAGCAGGATGGAGACCCAAGAAGACAAAGGTTTCAGCGTGAGTCCAAAAGCAAGAAAAGACTGACGCCCAACTCAAGCAGTCTAGCAGGGGGAGTTCCCTTTTAATCAGACTTTCGCTCTTCTCAGGTCTTCAACTGATTGGATAAGGCCGACCCACATTGGAAAGGTCAATCTACTTTACTCCATCTGCCAATTCAAATGTTACTCTCATCCAGAAACATCTTGACACACACCCAGAATAATGTTTGACCAAATGTCTAAGCACCCCATGGCCCAGTCAAATTGATGCACAAAACTAACCATCACTAGCTTACCTGACTGAGATTTGCCCACTCTTCCCAGACAGCCAAAAAGGATCTGGAAAAAAGTTCAAAACCTATTGACAGATATCAGGCAAAGGAAAACTGAATTTTACTGGGCAACATGCCTTAATGAGCATGGACTACCTTCCAATCTGTGGGACAAAAGACCAGAGACAGAACAATAACTCTGAAGAGAAAAGCATATGGTTAGAGATCTGGCTATTATAACTCACACATCACTGCCTTAAAGTCAAGTGACCCTCAATGCCTTTAATTGAAAGACAATTGCTTCCAAAATACACACCACACACACAGTGCCCATCAGAGACCTATCCAGAAGGAGAGAAAGCTTAGTCAGAGACTGATCCCTTAGGTACTATACAGCCAGTGTGGAAAGAAAGGAGACTTCTCCTACAAAAAAAATCAAGGCTCATATAACTCAGCCCTTGTGAAGCCAGGATAATAAGGCAAGTTTTTGGCCAGGGTTGTAGTCATCTCAAGGCTCAATTAATGCAGGATCCTCTTCCAAGCTCATCATGTGGTTGCTGGCAGGTTTTCTTCCTTACCATGTGGCTCTTACCACTGGCTCCCTGTCTTCACAACATGGCAAGTGGTTCTCATCTGTCCAGGGCTGCCTTACCTCATGACATCTAGTCTCCCTTAGAATAAATAATTTGAGGGAGGTAGAGAGGAAAGAGTATGCCCAAGACAAGTTGAAGTCTTCTGATAATCTGATCTGGGATGTGAGGTCTCATTACTTCCACTGTTTCCTATTCACTGGAAGGGAGTGAAGTCCTGCCCACATTGAAGGGGAGGAGAATTAAGATCTTTTAAAGAAAGGAGAACCGGGGATTCCTGGGTGGCTCAACGGTTTAGTGCCTGCCTTTGGCCCAGGGCACGATCCTGGAGTCCCGGGATCGGGTCCCACATCGGGCTCCCTGCATGGAGCCTGCTTCTCCCTCTGCCTGTGTCTCTGCCTCCCTCTCTCTCTCTGTGTGTCTCTCATAAATAAATAAATAATATCTTTTAAAAAAAAAAAAGACTAAAAGAATTACTGAAGGAAAAAAAAAAAGCAGCTGGATAGTTATTAAAACATCAATGGATATTTTATTCTCACTGTATTATTCCCCAGTCTCTAAGAAGACAGCCGTTGCCTCAAGGGAGGTTGGTGTCTGTTTTCTGAAAACGTGAGCTCCTTGAGGAGAGGACACTGGGGGAAGGGTAGAAGAACAGTATCTTTGAGGGCAGACAAGTAGAAACAAGAAGAAGAAAGGAGTGAGTTATCCAATAAGGGGAAGAAATTCTTTGGGACTCACAAAAAGAGGAAGCCTGCAACCCCACTTCCTAGCAGTGCTCTAGATAAATGACAGGTCCTCAGAGGGAAATGGGTATGTGCTGTACCAAGGAAAGCTAAAACTTCTACACTGGAATCCCCACACCTAGAAAAAATTCATGTGTCTGAAGTTGGCCATAACTGTTATAGCCACCAAATATCAAGGAACCATACACTCTTAGGCAATATTCTTACCAGTCACAGCCATAATAGATTGAAAACTAACCTTCTACCCTTTGCCTGGCTCCTCATAAGGCTCTCAGATTCTTTTTTTTTTTTTTAAGGTTTTATTTATTTATTCATGAGAGACACACAGAGAGAGAGGCAGAGACACAGGCAGAGGGAGAAGCAGGCTCCATGCAGGGAGCCTGACATGGGACTCGATCCTAGGTCTGCAGGACCATACCCTGGGCCGACCATACCCTAGGCACTAAACCGCTGAGCCACCTGAGTTGCCCTCTTTTTTTTTTTTTTTTTAGGTTTTATTTATTAATTTGACAAGAAGTGAGAGCGCACAAGCAGGGGGAGCAGCAGGCAGAGGGAGCAGGACCGAGCAGGGAGCCCAATGCCACGCTCTATCCTGAAGCTGAAGGCAAATGCTTAATTGACTGAGCCATCCAGGTGCCCCAAGCCTTAGTTTCTTTTTTTTTTTTTAGGATTTTATTTATTTATTCATAACAGAGAGAGAGAGAGAGGCAAAGACACAGGCAGAGGCAGAGGGAGAGAAGCAGGCTCCATGCAGGGAGCCTGACGTGGGACTCAATCCCAGGTCTCCAGGATCACACCCCAGGCCGAAGGTGGTGCCAAACCGCTGGGCCACCGGGGCTACCCCCAAGCCTTGAATTCTGATACAACCCTAAGAAGGGGTGGATACCCATTCCATTATTAATCACTGAGACTGAATTTTTCATCATTTTGGCAGGCTGGAGAGGGTGCATGTGTCTCAAAGTTGGATTTAATTTCATGTAAAGAAATTAAAATATTGGTTACCTGGTTTTGTGAAATAAAATTCCTACTTACTGCAGCACCTTAGTCAGTTAAACGTCTGACTCTTGGTTTCAGCTCAGGTCATGAATCTTGGGATTGTGGGACTGAGCCCCACATCAGGCTCTGCACTCAGTGTGCAGTCTGCTTGTCCCTATTCCTCCCTCTCTGCTTCTCCCCCTACTTGTGTGCTATCCCCTTAAATACATAAATAAAATCCTTTTTCCCCCACATTTTATTTAATCACTCATGAGAGGGAACCCTGGGTGGCGCAGCGGTTTGGCGCCTGCCTTTGGCCCAGGGCGCGGTCCTGGGGACCCGGGATCGAATCCCACGTCGGGCTCCCGGTGCATGGAGCCTGCTTCTCCCTCTGCCTGTGTCTCTGCCTCTCTCTCTCTCTGTGTGTGACTATCATAAATAAATAAAAATTTAAAAAAAAAAAAAAAAAAAATCACTCATGAGAGACACACACAGAGAGAAACAGAGACATAGGCAGAAGGAGAAGCAGGCTCCACACAGGGTGCCTGATGTGGGACTTGATCCCAGGACTCCGGGATCATGACTTGAGCCAAAGCCAGATGCTCAACCACTGAGCCACCTAGGTGCCCCAAATAAATAAAATCTTTAAAAAAAAATTCATACCCCTGCTATATGGTCAATTAATTTACTAACATGGATATCTTTTACAACTCATTAATCTTGATAGTTTCAAAGAAAGTTCTAAACAGATTGCTCCATCAAAACATTAAGATTTTTTCCATTAGTAACATATTACCCACAATTTCTTCCAGTCTATATTCTCCTAGAGAATATACAGAACATTAAGCAATTAGTTATACATCCATGTGTTTCTGCCTGGGGTTCTTCCTCCCAACCCAGGAAAGTCCTGGACTTGTGGGAAAACCATTCATTTAGGTTAGGGACCCACAAGTCCCATTAGAAAAGAAAAAAATCAATTCCACCACCTGGTTACTTGATCTCTCAATAGATCCAACCATACTCAACATTACAGATTACCTCTATTTCAGGATCTTAACCTAAAATATAACTCCCAACCATGTGCTACTCAACTTTTAACACAAACCTAATTAAAAATTACATTTATGGAGGATTATTGAAAAGTATAATGTATAATCCATTCTTCTAGATTTGTTGCTTTCAAATTATTTTAGGTTGTATAATCCTTTCTTTCAAATTGTCTCAGGATATAAACATAGTTAGAAGCAGAGTGATGCCAGAAGAAACAGGTCTCTTTGGAGAATGGCCAATTTTAGGTATGAGCAGGAAACATACAAGATGGGCCTGGAATACCTTGTCCAAGCAGGAAGCAAGGAGGCTATCAAAGTTTACTGGTGCCAAATGGACCGAGGAGCCAATTTAAAGAGGCTTCCACTGGGCTAAGTTAGTATGAACATCAATAAGAAAAATAATCATAATGGATTGAAATTCATCAAATATGTTTAAATCCATGAGTTGATGATAATATTTTTTATAAAACAAAAAAGAAAGAAAGAAAGCCAGTTGCCTTTGGAGTATGCTAGAAAACCAACTCACACTGAAATATGGTATGGAAAAAAAAAAGTGGAGGACAAAGAGGCGCTTATCAAGCTTCTCCCTTTACACATTGTACCTAAGGAAAATCGTACAGTCAATGAACGAAAGAACAGATCAGTTGCCAGAGAGCAGAAGCGCAAGGAGGAGGTGACTGCAACGGTACTGCACAAGAGTTTTTTGAGGGAAAGGAAATGTTCTGTACTTTGCAGTGGTAGTTATATGAATCTACACATTTTCAAATTTCATGGAACTGCACACGTAAACAATTTCACAGTATGTTAACTGCAAAAATAAAATTAAAAATGTTTAAGTCAAAAGGGAAACCTCTTTATAGAAGTATTCTAGCTAATAATGAAGAAATGAGAGAATCAGAATGTCACCATCTGCAACCCTAAATGAAATGAAAAATATAGACACTGATTACTTTGAGTTCCTAACATCAAAACATGAGAAGCCATGATGGAAATACTCATCATTCCTAAGAAGTAGTCTCTCCAAAAAAATAAAAAATAAAATAAATCTGAATCTCATCAAATGTCTAGAACTAGCTGTAACTACCAATTTATAAGATACACAGGGAACAGAGAAACATGCTAAATGATTCCATGAGGACAGAGTCAGCAAAATTCAGATTGTGGGAAAAAATTGGTGGTCAGTGGGGACAGAAGGGAATTGTGGAGAGGGATGGAACTGTTCTATATTATGATTGTTGTGGTGGTTAAGCAACTATATGCATTTGTCAAAATTCATAAAACTGTACACTAAAATAGGTAAACATTTTATTGTATATAAATCATACCTCAACTTTTTTAAAAAATTAAAATTCAGATTGTGGGAAACTGTTTCCAGGAACTATAACATAGTTATACAGAATGGGGAAAAACAAATAAACAGCATGGGGAAAAACAGAGTGTGAAAACTACAGATTTAAAAGAACTCGAGATCTTTTTCTTTCTTTCTTTTTTTTTTTAAGAACTTGAGATCTAATCAACAAATTACAAGCTTATAAAACTGATCTGGATCCTGATTTGAACAAACAGACATTTTATTTTTATTGTGGTTTTTTTTTTTAAGATTTATTTATTTTAGAGAGGGAGGGGCAGAAGGAGAGAAGAGAGAATCTCAAGCAGACTCCCCAGTGAGCACAGAGCCCAATGTGGGGCTTGATCTCATGACCCAGAGAT